GAGCTCTCCTTCCCCACCGCCCGCCCCCCTCCTGTGATAGCCGATTCAGGATAGAGAGCGGGTATACAAACACTCACTGATCAGTGATCTACATCACTTCCTGTTCATTCATAATTGTGGACATGTTAAGCACACTATCTCCACAAGTTATGAATGAACAGGAATACTCAATATAGAGGATTCCTGTTCATTGATAACAGGGGCTGAAGAAAAAGAGATTGAGGATTCTGTGTCCTCAATCTCTTTTTCTATTCTAAAAGGGAAATATCAGGGATCTGTTTAGACCCCCAATATTTCCTTAGAGCCCCTGATCAGCTGATCGTTGAGTGTTTGTAAATAACGAGACATAGTGTACTTACTATGTACCAGTTATGAATTAATAGGAAGTGATCTACATCACTTCCTGTTCATTCATGATTGTGGACATGTTAAGCACACTATCTCCACAAGTTATGAATGAACAGGAATACTCAATATAGATGATTCCTGTTCATTGATAACAGGGGCTGCAGAAAAAGAGATTGAGGATTCTGTGTCCTCAATCTCTTTTTCTATTCTAAAAGGGAAATATCAGGGATCTGTTTAGACCCCCAATATTTCCTTAGAGCCCCTAAAGTAATAAAAATAACAATAAAATAATTACAAAATAACTTTAATTTTTTTTTTTAAAAGATTGGGGGAAAAAAGTCATTTTCGGTTTCGGCCTGACGTATTTTTTATTTTCTGTTTCGGTCTCAAAATTCCATTTCGGTGCATCCCCAATGTTAATACTTTTTTTTCTTTTTTTTTACTATTTACATTAAAGCAGAACTCCGTTAATGAAAAAAAAACTTACCCTTGCAGAGGGGCTACACCCGCACTGCAAGGGTTAAGTGCTGGTTTTGTCTTGGGGCTCAAATAAAGCAGAGATACTCACCTGATCCTTGGTCTTATGGTGGTTAGCGCTCACCTCTCTCCCACTTCACTCCTACTATGGAATGCCCCTCAGTGTCCTCACATATAATGCAAGTTAATGGACCTGCATAAGACATGATGACGTCAGTCAACGGTCGTTAGACCACCGGAGCCTGGGGAAGAAGAGGCTGTGGGGAGCGGTCTTGCAGCCCAGTGGGACCAAAGATCTGGTGTGTAATACAGCTTTGAGTCCCAGAGGACAAAGTAAATACCAAAGAACATAGTGATTACTGTGTACCCAGTTATTAATGAACAGGAAGTGCTATACATTACTTCCTGTTCATGTATGAATGGGGACATAGTAAATGTTTACTATCTGTTCACTTTATGAATGAACAGGAAGCAGCTCAGTACCGAGGCTTCCTGTCCATTCATGACTGGGTTGATAGTAAATATTTACTATCTCCAGATTGCAAATGAACAGGAAGCCTCTGTACTGAGATATTCCTGTTCCTTGAGTGCTGGGGCTGCAGTAAAAGTAATTGAGGACTCTGTGTCTTCAATCTCTTTTTCAATTTTAAAAGGGAAATATCAGGGGTCTGTTTAGACCCCTGATATTACCCCAAAGCCCCTAACCGTAAAGTAAAAAAAATAAATATAATAAAAAATAAAATAATTTAAAAAGGTTAGAAAAAAAAGCCAGTTTTGGTTTTGGCCTGACAAATTTTAAAATGTCAGTTTTGGTCTTAAAATTTCATTTCGGTGAATCCCTACGAAATAAAAAAAACAGCTGTAAAGACCAAAGGCGAAAGCACACATCTGGTTAGATCTCTCTTAGGCCTCATTCACACGAGAAAAAGCCGACACGTGCAGCTCCGTGCTGCGTGCACGGCCGTATCGTGCAGCTCCCAGGAAGGACAGGTGCTGCATGTGATTAGTACGCAGCCCCTGTCCTTCTCTATGGGAGTACGTGGTCGTACGCTGCCCTACGCTCACCCCAAGTGCAGGTCTGTACCGGTAAGGATGTCCCGGCTTGGACGCAGACAGGATCCATCCCACACGCATGTGGCGGGCGGGTCAGCGTAGGGTGGCGTACGGCTGCGTACTCCCATAGAGAAGGACAGGGGCTGCGTACAAATCACACACAGCACCTGTCCTTCCCGGGAGCGGCCCAATACAGCCGTGCACGCAGCACAGAGCTGTACGTACCGGCTTTTTCTCGTATGAATGAGGCCTTACTGTAACAGTGCTTTAAATGAATTTGTAAGCCAATTTCTGCCTTTGTAAATAATTAATCCTCTTTAATTACAACCGCTGCACAAAAAAGAAAAAAAAAGGCAGACAGCCCCTGTAATTCACGATAACAGCGGTAAACTGACTCTGTATACCTTGTGACAGTGCTCTGCTGGTTTTCCCCAGTGTCAGAAGACAAATTTATTCCGTACCTCAGCGACTTCTGCCGTTTTTCCTGTTACTGCAACTAAATAGGCGCTTTGAAATATCACAAAGTGACATGTTAATGGCTCCAGAGCCCAGACTCTTTAGAATTGGATGAGACGCAAAGTAATGCTTTGCCGTTTCAAGATGGAAAAGGGGCTCATGTAAATTGCTCAGTGACAACATAGCTAAGAGTTTTTTTGCAGTGCCGGGAAGTCATCATATTGATGGTCAGGAGAGCGGGCTCAGAGCCAGTAGAGGTACAGGAGAGCACAGGGTCAATACAATGAGCTCCTATCCAGTCGATGAATGGAAATGCAATGCACAGAGCTGTTAATATCTATTACCGGCATATTCATTTTACTGCATTGAGCGTTCAAGGACTTTCATGAAGGCTCTTTTACTAAAAGGGCAATTGGTAATGTGAGGATATTTTTGCTACAGTGCAATTTTTTCCCCGTAAAATCAAGGCGGTTTATTTTCCCTTGGAATTCCACGGCACGCTGCATTTGTCATTTTCATAATAAGGGCTTATACACGGTGGAGTTGTTTGAGCACCTCCAGACAATTCGCAGGCTAGGAATAGAAAAGAAACTCATTGCTGTTACAGGCAACGCAGATAAGAACCCAAGAGTTTTGGGATGACCTTTTTAGCATTGTGTACTAATGCCAGGATGCTGCCAAAGACATAGGTCTACCCGGTTACCAAAGGCAGAGCAATGCTGTGCTACTGGACAAAGAGCAGTGCAATGTTACCCATCATTTCATGTTATTAGAGCAGTGCAACGGTACCCATTGTACCCTGTTGGCAGAGCAGTGCAATGGTATCCATCATGTCATGTTATCAGAGTAGTCCAATGTTGTCCATATTCTATATTATAAGAGTAGTGCAGTGGTACCCATCATGCCGTGTTATCAAAGCAGTGCGATGGTACCTATTGTGCCATGTTATAAGAGCAATGTAATTGTACCCATCATGTCATGTTATCAGAGTTGGCCAATGGCATCTGTTGTGCCCTGTTATAGAGCAGTACAGTGGTACCCATCCTGCCATGTTATTAGAGCAGGGCAATGGTACCTGTTGTGCCATGTTAGCAGAGCAATGCAATGGTAATGCAATGGTACTCATTGTATCATGTTATCAGGTCATGTTGCCAGGGTAGTGCAATGGTATCCACCATGCCATGTTATCAGAGCAATGCAATAGTACCTGTTGTGTCATGTTATAAGAGCAGTAAAATGGTACCCATCCTGCCATATTATTAGGGCAATGCATTGGCACCCTTGTTATAAGAGCAGTGCAACAATGCCCATTGTAACATGTTATCAGAGCGTTGTAATGGTACCCATTGCCCCATGTCACCAGCGCAATAACATGATACCTGTTGTGCCATGTTATTAGAGCTGTGCAATGGTATCCATTGTGTGATATTATCAGAACAATGTAATGGTACTTGTTGACTTGTTGCCCCATGCCATCATCAGAGCAATGCAGTGGTACGTGTTGTGATTTTACCATCTTTTTTGCACTTGTGGAATGCTCAGCAGCCAAGAAGAAGGGCACAGTTACCCCACAGTTATCTTGCTATCCCATACATAATACAATGTAGGATTTCACATGCAAGTGGCAATGGAGACACGACACCAACAGTGCAAAGAAATGCCAGGATTTTGGTGAATGGTTACTGCCCCATTTTCTCCCTACGGTATTTGGAATCAGACACTGGACATCCCCAGCACTTTGCTGCCCTGTGATACCCTACACTGATGGCACATAGAGGCATAGAGGGCCTGACTTATGCATAGCCAGCATCGACTGCAGCCAAGTATGGTAGGGCAGCCAGAGGGGGCACACTGGCCCTCTTGCATCATGTTGCTGACTGTCAGTAACACATTGCTGTGCATAATAAAGTCTCCCAAACTGTGTACTTACAGTTTGCTCTATTCTTCAAGTCTTCCGTTCTAGGTGTACATTTTGGGGCTGGTTCACACCTAAGTGTTTTCAGTTTCACGTGTGTATCGCAGAATTTTTTTCTGTGCGTTTTTGTGCAGTTTTGGTTTTGAAAACGCACAATTCTCCCAACATAGAGATGTCTATGAGACCAAAACCGTGCGGCATCCTCCTGAAAATAGCTCCTACATCTTTTTGCGCGACAGGCGTTTTCCTACGTGCGGCGCAACACTAACAGTCACCATTAATTTGCATGGACTAGATCCACGTGGATCTGAAATTTTGCACTTTTAGCTTTTTTTTTGCACATTTTTTGATCCATCAAATTTGGATATCTATCATTAATCACTAGAAGTATTGGTATAGCAATATTTCTTATATTATATCAATTACCAATTGGACCCATAGCGCTGCATATTTATTTCCATTTACAGTCTAGACAGGAGCCTAGGGCCTGCCGATGTTCAAGGGACCCAGCTACAACCTTTATGCTCGTTCAGTATACCAGGGGGTAGTGCAATGGGTCCAAGCTATGTACCTGTGTACCTATGTATGACTGAGGTTGGTCAGTCTCCTGTCTCTTCTTACAAGCTCATTGATCAGGCTCCTCCCCACACAGATTTCCATTCTTTTTTTTAATGAAACAATCCTTTTCCTAAGATCTGATAAACTGCCAGTGACACGTGATTGAAAAGGTTCTTTTTTTTTCATTCAGCAGGCTCATTTTTTGACCCATGCCCTCAGCGTACTACCCAGGTTGTGTTTGAATACCATTCTGGTAGGAGAGTAGCACGGTTGAAGTCTCCACGGGATCTGTATGGCGTATCCTCAGCCAGTTTCTTCCAGCTTCCACGGTGGCCGTACGAATGCCAAGTTCTAAAGGAGAAGATTGATCATATTGGTAAGCAGTCGCTAGACAGACTATGGAACTATCATTAGATATACAGTATTATTTCATGTGAAGGACATGCATGCTAAGTAATACGTCAGTGCAACACTTTCAGGTATTTATTACTTCTCACAGAGATCACAGTACTCCCCTGACAATGCCTCCATCTGCTTTTCTCTCCAGAAGGATGGAACCATCTTTTTTCAATCATCATCCAGGGTCACCATGGCTGTGTTTACAAATATCTGACAGAAATCAGCCCCCTGCTGCAGCCTGTCACCTTGAGGTGGCATCAGAAAGTGATCACAGGGGGGGGGCACAGTAACAACAGTGTATTGCCACCATTGCCATTGGTGAAATAATTGGAAAACTACTATATGCAGACCATGTAGGGGATGTATCATTTATTGAAATGTAGAGTGCATACAGTGTTAGAGCTCACTATTCTGGGAGTCCAGTACCTGAAAACTGAAAGAAAGCTGCGACATGTATATTGACAAGTAGTTTTAAAATGAACCTTACTGAAATTTGAAAGTATATCTAATGCCAAAAACGTTTTTTTTCATCGTGGATAGCATAGAGCAGGGTTATTGGGTTAAAACTGAAGTAGGTTCAGTCAGTAAAATTTGTGGGTCCACATGTGACCTCATTGGTTGTTAGGATGCCCATACCGGTGGCTGTAGCAACCAAGGAGATGGGTAACTCGAGCTGGGTTATGGCTGGCTGGCATTTAATGCACCTACCTCAGAAAGTCTCTAAAGCCAGTGCATCCTCTGTCAGCTAGCCAGACATAACCCAGTGCAGGTGCATGATTGTAGTCCAGAGCGAACCAGCACTCAGTCCGTGTCCAGACCGCGGCCCACCATTTATTGATCCCTGGCATAGAGAATAGTTCAAACCCCGTCAGGCTTTTTGTTTTTTGTTGGGGAGATTTCCCTTCACTTCCTGTCCTGGAAACACGATAGAAAGTGGCAGAAAATCTCACCAAAGGGAAAGGATATCACTGTCATTGGAACACATGTCCCCACTGAAAGATTTCACCCCATCTCAAGTGTGAATAATAGCCTCGTAGTAATAGAGATGCTGGCTTTCTTGTAACAGTTTGAAAGGTATTCTCCTGGATAGTCCAGCTCCCACTGTTCAGATTCCCTGCGGAGATCAGTGCCTGCGGAGATCAGTGCCTGCGGAGATCAGTGCCTGCGGAGATCAGTGCCTGCGGAGATCAGTGCTGCAGCTTTATTAGACACCGGCGCTATTGGCTATATGTAGTGACCCCACTCTCCACTCAATTGTTCATGAAAAATATGGCTGCAGGCAGCATATTGTAAATGCCAAGGGGGAGCGGAGACATGACACCCGTACCGGTGTCTGACGGGCCTGCAGCACTGGTCTCCGCAGGAAGTTGGAAGCTGAACTTAGGGCTAGTTCATCCTTTGTTTCCTCACTTTGTTTTGGGGCAGGAGGGGGCATGGTGGTGCATTGACCTCAACAGCACCGCAGTCACTCCCTCTGGCCGCAATGCGATCGGCTGCATGGGAACACGTGGCACATTAGTGCCTGCATTCTGGTCCGGTGCAGTCAGAAAAAGTAGTACACGCATTATTTATTCTGACTGCACCGGACCGGAACGTAGGCACTGATGTGCCACGCGTTCCTGTGAAGCCAATCTTATTGTGATCAGAGGGCATGGCTGCGGTGCCATTTAGTTCAATGCACCGCCATGCCCCCTCCGCCCCAAAACAAAGTGAGCCGGGGGGAATACAATCTAGTGCGTTCCAGCCACAATCGGGCGGGAACGCACTGAGGATGGTGTGAACTAACCCTAAAAGAAAATATTTCAAACTGAAGAAAGCCAGTATTTATATTACTACAAAGCTAAGATAAATTGCTTTATTTGCAGTGAAAATATATGTACGTAAACCCTATAAGTTAACTTCTTATTTTTGCTTTCTTTTAGTCTGTTTCATATGCCATCAGAAGCATTTTGTTATATCTGTTTGATAAGTGCAGAAAAAAATCCTGTTGATCCTGCCAGAAATCCAGTGCTGTCCTGGGCAGTTTACAGCTTTATCTCGAGCATTGTTATCAACCCTGCCTAATTCACCTTTGAGGACCACAGAACACCTCTCTCCTATGCTTTTAGAGCTGAGGAGAGGGGGGGTGTTATGTAGTCCTAAGACACTTTCTGTCCTAAGATGACAACACTACTGCTCCATAAAGTGAGTGAGCGTTGTCACCCTAGGACAGGAAGTGTGTTACTAGGCAGGATCATCAGGTGAAAACAAAGGGAAGAAAGCCTGAAAAAAGAGAACGAATGCAGCCCCCACATCTGAAGGTCAGTAAGCTGCAATATATGAAATTTTTGTTCTTGGGTTTACAGACACTTTAAAGATCAAGTTATTCTGTAATAAAATGTGATCTTTGTGTTCCTTCAGAGTGGGAGCCGCCTGTTCCTGAGCCCATGTACCAGCTGACAGGATTGGAGAAAGAGCCTGCGTGTGCGGACCCCCTAGAGAGCAAGGTGGTCTACCAAGTCAGCGAAGGTTTGTGCCAATCCTCGGTGTGGTTTATATTGGGCACCTGATGTCTCCTTTAAACCTTTTATGCATTCCCTTTCAAAAAGTAAAACTCTTTGTTTCCGCCTTCTCTTGACTGAGATGAAAGCCATCATTGTTTAAATAGAGCACGGCGTAAACAAACAGGCAATTATTCCGCGCACGCCGCAGTACTCTGTGACGCTCGGCATCTTAGAAAGGCTAATTTTTCTTAATTAGAACACTGGCGGGCAAGATGAAAGTGCTGAGCTTGCAGACGTCAGAATAAAAACTTCTCCGCAGATGAACGCTTTTGAAAAAGATACCCAAAAGATCGACGCTCAGAAGTGCCTCTCAGGAGCCCAGCCAAGCGGCTAGAGGAAATGGAAAACGCTGCAGATTTGATGGGTTTCCCCTAAAGCTTCTGTCGTGTTAGCAACTCATCTGCCAGTCCCAGCAGTCAGCTGCTGATTAGTTGTAAAGTTTTCTGGCATCATCCATTTTGCCGGTGGACAGGTCATATGCCTCATTGGTTAGGGAAAAACTCCCCTGGTGCACTACATCTCCCAGGGTGCTAATGCTCACCATGTTATCCTGGGATTGATACTGCGTGGCTAAATGGAAAATTATGGTTTTCTTTGAGTTTAAGGAGAAGTATTGAGGGAGTAAAACGTACTGTTCCCAATATTTAGAGGCGGTGTGTGGCACTGCAGGTGTCATATGCTGGCTCTATAGAGTGAAAGCTGAGTGATCACAAACCGCTGATTGTTCAGCTCAGTCTTTTTCCCTGCAGAGAGCAGTCACTGTCAGTCACCTGCCCCTCGCAGGGATTCCTCCTCCACTCCTTTTGTTCCTCCAGTGCATATTGGAGGGACAGACGGGGAGAGGGCGGGCACAGCTGTCTCTGACTCTAGAGAGGCAGAGCCAGCTGTCAATCAGGCAACAGGGTGGATCTTTCCCACCTGCAGCACGACTCTGCGCTTTCAGCAAATAGGCAGTAATCAAGCTCAACAAACATGGCTGCCTCCATTACATTTCTACAGTACATACATAATTACATATTATATATAGAAACAAGGTTTTTAAAACATCATCACACAATGATAAGATTTTAATTCAGCTAATCTATTTTACATTCATCTATAGAAAAAACATAGCAAAGGCTATTTATTCCCTTTACAGTCCAATTTGAAGGCTCACTATGTATTACTGTAATGTAGTCAGGCTGCCTATATTAGTAATAAACATGGGGCTCTTTTACTTTTTTAACTGCTATGTGCTTCAGTAAGGGTTAAAATACTCTGTGCTGGCAGCAGCTCTCTCACATAAAGCAGCAGCCTGGCTCTCCATTGGTCCAGCACACTCAAACACTGCGCCAACCTAAAGCTCTGCTTAAGGAGTGAGAGCGGTGTCGGACAGCAAGAGAGCCGGGCAGCTACTTTGTATGAGAGAGCCGAAGGCTGACTCTCCTATGTGCTGCCAGCACAGGGTATTTTAACCCTTACTGCATAGTAATGCATATACAGCTTGACTGGCGAGGGTTCTTTTAGGCTTTAAGGAATACTATTATTATTATTTTTATTATTATACAGGGTTTATATAGCACCAACAATATAAGGAAGACATTACAATTATAATACAATTCAAGACAAGATGGTTAGGAGGGCCCTGCCCATGAGAGCTAACAATCTAATTAGCATTAAATATACCTTTTATAGGTGTGCTTAAAAAAATTCTCTACTTTTATCTTAAATTGTCATAAAACAGAGCTCTGCTTTCATTTAAAATAGGAGCAGCCTTGTCAGTAAAGAAGACTTACTTTATCTGATTATAACTGCTGGTTACCTTTGCACACATTTTTGGATCTTTGTGTTTCTTTCTCCTTAGCCCTTTAGGACTCATTCACACCACATCCAGATCATCTCCAGACCAGACCAGATTGTTTCCGGACCCAAAATGCATCCTAATGTATCCCTCTGCTATTCCTGGCCTCTGTTCACACCAGCACAGTCCATTACAGACCTGTGACAATGAGACTGTCACAGGTCGGCTCAGTAGATCGAGAAGTGAGCGAACACATACCGGCGTTCGCTCACCTCTCGCTCCTGTCACGGCTCTCTGCCGTGACAGGGGAGGGACTGGATTCCCCGCTCCGATCCGCCAGCGCTGACTGGCGGGCCGGACGGGGGAGGGGACGGGTACAGCTGGCTCTGCCTCTAGATAGGCAGAGCCAGCTGTCACTCACGCAGCTGGGTGGATCCAGACATAATTGTCGGGATCCACTTCGGCTGCGGCGTCTCTTCAGCTGCAGCTCGCGGTATACAGAGCTTTGGGTCACAGGAGAACGCTAGTTTGCGTTCTCACGCGACCCTCAGTATATGGGGAAAAGCCCTGACCACATAGTTCTCCTTTAAAAAAAAAAAGTTAGTAATCCGCAACACTGTGGTTTAATAGGAGCTTTCCCTGCTCTGCTTCTGCATCAGCTGTGCTGTTACTTAGCATGGCTTACTGATATTGTACTATGGTACTTGTAGGCTACTAGATTTAATTAGGACTGCTCACTTTTTTGCAGGGAAAAAGTGTTCATTGGCTATATGTAGTGACCACTTTTTTTTTTTTTTTTTATTAAACCAAAGTTATTTAACTTTTGTTCTTTACTCCTTAGTGTGATTTAACAAGCTCTGTAACACTCGAAATATATAGCAAGTAGAGAATTGGACACGGCTTTCCTCAAATTGATTCAGTTTTGCCCATTAAATTTCATTTGGAGACATTTCCTGCAATAAAAAAATCAGGCGTTCCACATACCCCAAGAATAAAATTTACAAGGTCAGTCTAATCATTGTTGTGGACACGTCCTGAATATTAAAGACACAATTAAAATATCTAAGGGTTCAGCATTCTTCATTGTGCAGCAGCGCGGGGTAAGGAAGTCACTGCACTGTTATACAAATGGAAGACTGTTTGCAGATCTTTGCTTCTCATAGCTGAATAGTAACTATCATTGTTCAGTACACAGAAAACATATTTACAATGGAGCCAGGACTGAAACTAAATGCAACAGGTTATCCTGTACAAAATCCTCCATATTTCATCAGTAAGGCTTAGCCTGCACTTGCAACTATTGATGGCGCAGCTAAAAAAAAGCGCTCACCCAAGAGAATTTAAAGTTTTGGCAACTGCAGGCAAATGTCGCTGATTTTTGTAAAGGTGATCAGTCTTTCAGTATCTGCAATTATTAGGGATGCACCGATACCAATACTAGTATCGGTATTGATGCCGAGTATTTGGGCATCAATACCGATACTAGCCGGCTTCATTCTCCCTAGTCACCTCATGACGAGGGAGCATGGAGCCGGCTTCCCGGCCAATGAGGAAGCCGGGCGCCGCGTCATTACACCTTCCTGATTGGCCAGAAAGCCGGCTCCATGCTTTCTCGTCACCTAGTGAGTCTTTACACGCTTCCCGGCTAATCAGGAAGCCAGGTCGTGAGCCAATACACACCACCTGGCTTCCTTAATGGGACTTCCGGTATTCAGTATCGGCGAGCCCCGAAAAAAATATCGGTACTCATACTCCATAGCGAAATACCGGTATCGGTGCATCCCTAGCAATTATCACTGTGATTACATGACTGATTACCCAGTGGGATGCAGTGGGGATCTCAGATTTATCATTGCTCAGGAGCATGCTACAGAGAAGAACCCTTGCTCTCTGTGGGGAAGCAGTGGTCTCTCTGCAGAAATCTGACACACTTCCTGCTGAGTCATAGCTAGAGCTCCCCAAATGTCATGCTCCCTCCTGATTAGGGAGCTCTAGTCCTGACTCACAGGGGGTTAGTCGCACTTCTGCAGATAGGCCGCTGCTTTCCCCCAGAGAGCAAGGGCCCTTCTTTGCAGCATGCTGACAGGGGACAGGCTTTTCTACTTATGCTGTAGCTACTTTCTGTAACTGCAAGACTTTGCACACTGTTTGCTCTGATGCTTCTAGAATGTACTTAGCTGACTTAAAGGTCCATGTCACCTGACCTCCTGTATGTGAGAAATACTGCCTGGCCAAAAAAAGTAGCCACCTGGATTTTGGTCAGTTGGTCAGGTTTAGGTTCAGCAACGTTATGTTCCTAAAAAATGAAGTCAGCTGTCTACCTGAATATACCGAATGACCAGGTTCTTCCATCAATGGATATTTTTCTTCCCTGATGGCACATTGGGCATATTCCAAGATGACAATGCCAGGATTCATCGGGCTCAAATTGTGAAAGAGTGGTTCAGGGAGCATGAGACATCATTTTCATTCATGGATTGGCCACCACAGTGTCCAGACGTTAACCCCATTGAAAATCTTTGGGATGTGCTGGAGAAGACTTTGCACAGTGGTCCGACTCTCCCATCATCACTACAAGATCCTGGTGAAAAATTAATGCAACGCTGGATGGAAACAAAATGTTGTGACATTGCATAAGCTTAAGCCATGGCGAATCTGTGCAATACTCAAAGCTAAAGGTCATCCAATTAAATATTAGACTGTGTGAGCTTTTTCTTTGGCCAGGTAGTGTATACTGCCACCCGGAACTTACAAGTGATCCTTTGAGCCATGTTTTACCAGTTTACCAACATACTCATTGGAGCAAGTAATGGTCACCATTCTGCTAAATAACCAGCGCACATTAATCCCTAGGCATATGCAATTAGCTCTCCTACACAATATAACAGCACATGACAAGTATTTTTTTATTGTTCGATCTCTTTTTTTTTGCCTGGACGTTTTCTACTGTTATGATTTATCTTCTCAGAGATGATTGCTACAAGAACTTTATAACCTCTCGTTGAATATCTTTATCTCTTCCCTTTAATCCGCCGAGCCCAATATGAAACTAATTCCCCCAAAATATGTTTCCTAATTTCCATTTAATTCCATCTTCATTATGTGAAAATACCAAAAAGTCCCCATCTCCATAGAGACATAATGGTTGCTTTCAGAACATGAGCTGATTAAATTCCATACAGTGTCTTATTACCGCAAGATATGTGTGACTCACGGCGCTGCCATTGTTTCGCTGCCACTCTATTTTTGCTTTTGCTCTCTGTACCGAATGCTATTTTTTACCCTAATCAGTTTTTTGGGGGGGGAGGTGGGGGAATAATTGCTCTATAAAACTCTCTTTGAAAATGTCACCGAACGTGCGATACATCGGCTCCCTTTCACAACTGCGCCTTAATTGCTAATATTTTGAAAATCCGTGGTATTTTCTGCTAAAATACGCCATCGTTTCTCTTGCTGCAAAAAAACAGCATCTTGTCACGCTGAGCTCGGCGTGCAGCTTTTTTCCTTTTTTTTTTTTGTTACAAAAATGAATGCCCATCATTTATACAACTTCAAAAAAAGAAAGACAGTACGAAATGTCATATTAAAGGGAACCTGAAGGATGCAGGGAGACTTTCCTTCTGGAAATGCTAGATCCCTGGCTGTCATGGCTGTCCAATGACTTCAGTGTTTTCGGGGTCACTGACATCACCCGGATGTTTGACTGCATACTTGTTGGCCACAGACAGCCAGGCAGCTTGAATTCTTAGATGGAGGTCTGCAATGGCAGCCTCTATACCTAAATACAAATGCCCTTTCAAGTTGAACTCCATGATAAGCAAATATTCTCTAAATATAGTCCTTGAATCTTGATGAGCTGTGTGTATTTCTTGGGGATCTGTGCAGTAATCCAGTGTGAAACTATCCCTCTGTGCAGGAGCTTCCTGTAAAAAGACCGGTTACTGCTGCTCTTTCTCTTTGTGCAGGGTGACTGGTCTTGTATCCGCCCCCTCCTGTAGTTTTCTGCAATGGGTGGGACCTGCTAAGAGCTCTTCGCTTCCTCTAACACTCTATCTGGAGTCATGGTCAGCTCCTGGCAACCATTGATGTCAGTGAGCTGGGCAGTATGCCAGACAGAGGTACTGTGGACACCCCACCCAGAATTCCTCCCCCTGGTAAAATGTGCCGACAACACTCCAACATACAGTATCCTAGCGTCCTCCCATGACCCAAAGCTCAGTATATAGCGGGCTACAGCTCGCTATATACTGAGAGCGCCGCAGCCAGGGCGGATCATGACAATAGTGTCGAGATCCACCCAGCTGGCTGATTGACAGCTGGCTCTGCCTATCTAGAGGCAGAGCCAGCTGTGCCCGCCCCCTCCTCCGTCCATTCCTCCAGTCAGCGCTGGAGGATCGGAAAGGGAAGGGGGGAATCCCTGCGGGGAGTGGTGACTGACAGTCATCGCTCACTGCAGGGAGATGATTGGTAGGTGAGCGAGCGACGGTATGTGTTCGCTCACTTCCCAATCTATACAGCCAACGTGTGACAGTTTCAATGCCACAGGTCGGCTCCAACTATGAGGATGAGTGGAAATGACTCACCTCATAGTTCTCCTTTAAGTAAAGGTGCTTTTTAAAGGTACTCTACTCTACAATGAGCATTCAACACTGAGGGGGAGCCCCACTGCATGGATAGTTTTACAATTTTCACACAATTTATCTTTAACTCTTTCCCACTCTATCCAGTACTTAAAGTAGTATTAAGCTCTCACACTTTTGTCTCTGTGTGTTTGTGGAGACACAAACAGAGTACTGGCACACACACCAGGGTGTCTCCATAGGACCCTGCAAGGGAAAGGAGTCCCCCATAACAGGATATCCGGGCCAGAGCTCAGGGGACCAGCTGATTCTGCAGGAAACTAAAAATTTTAAACATCAAGGAGCAGCATCCATTGTAAGTGATTTCATCAGCATTTGAAATAGCTTAAAAACCTTTTGGCTTTAATATCATTTCAAGTTAAAGAAACAAAATAGCATTCGAATTTAAAGCTGAACTCCAGGCAGATATAAAAGACACAAATTAATGCAGCTTTGTATTCATTAATACATCATTACACTTATTTTCTTACATGCCACATGATACTTACTTTGTTTTTACAGCAGAACTCAGGTGCTAACAAGGAACATGCTGATAGGAGTGGAGGGCAGAGTGACAGAGATGAGCCCATCAGTCTGCTGCCTTTCCTTTCACTGTTCAATCACAGACTGGGGGAGGGACAAGACCAGTAAGGGTTACTGAACTGCAGAATAGAAACGTCAAGTCTCCTGCCCTGCCAGACAGGGCTGTGCTGTGTGACAGAGCTGTGGAAATCTCAGAACTGGATAGATACAAGTACAACGTCTTTGGCAGGTAAAACAGCAGCTCCCATATATGTTCTTCATCTGTCTATTTAGCCATTTGCCTGAAGTTCAGCTTTGAGTAGAAATAAAGCTGCAACCCTGACTTAGCTGGCACCCAACCTACGGCCATGATCATTTGCCAGCCTGCTGCCCGTTCCACTTTGTTGGTGATGAGCATTTTCCTGCAGGGGGCTGCGGTGTACCCCTCTGTGCCTAACATTTGTCAAGCCTAATGTCTGCTAACCTTCAGAGCTCAGGTCACCTGACAACGTCGGCCATTTTGAGCTTCCGCGAATCCTATTGATTTTCTGTGTACATAAATAACATGTGCCGGGAATAATAATGAATCTTCCGCTTTTCTCTCCGAGTTTCTTTTGTCTTGAAAACAGCAAACTCAATTTTAACCCATCACCGTCCTTCCTGTCAGATGATTATTTTTTTCCTGGAGGGTTACGCTTTCAATTTCCTGTTTTCTCAGACATTCATTAGCACGATGTCAGTGTAATCCAGCACGTGTCTCTAGCAGGAGATGTCCTGATCTTCCTTTGTTCCGCTGCATTGTAATTAACTTTTATCTTCGGGGAGTTACAGTTTAAAGTGGAACTCCAGCCAAAAATTGTTGTTTTATTATCTTGGGACAGAGTGTTAGGGTCTCTGTCAGCCTATTATTGCATTCAGTGGGACTGTTATACCATCACTTCCTGTCATGTAAGGGGACATTTCCTGAATGGGCAGAAACACTGCCAAAATCCAAGTTTGTATTATACTAGGGAAGGATACAAGATGGGGACATTTGTTACATTTTAATTGCTGCTTGTATCACCAGTGTTTGGGGATACAACTTTCCAAAAAAGTTGCTCTTGCTTCGATACTAACTCATACTCTTCAATCCAGAGCTGTCCCCCACAGTACTTCTTCTCCACCACTAGGTGCCACCTGTCTTCTTGGTTGAATGGCATTCAGCTTGTTCAACCTATTTTCTGTGAGCCCAGGCTATCATAGACCTGGCCCCTGAGGACACCTCATCACACCACCTTACAGTACTCCTGGAATGGGCAACGCCCGCATGCCATTAGCCTCGGTCCAGGAGAAAGGACTATCCAGCACTGCCACCAAGGAAGATGCTTAAAGGAGAACTATGAGGCGAGGGATTTTCACTCAATCTCATAGTTCGAGCCGACGTGTGACAACAAAACTGTCACACATCGGCTCTCTTGATCGGAAAGTGAGCGAACACATACCGTCGCTCGCTCACTTTCCGATCATCTCCCTGCAGAGAGTGGTGACCGTCAGTCACCGCTCCCTGCAGGGATTCAGGAATTCCCTGCTTCGATCCTCAAGTCACGAACGGGGGGGAGAGAGGGGGAACAGCTGGCTCTGCCTCTAGATAGGCAGAGCCCGCTGTCACTCATGCAGCTGGGCGGATCTCGACAGCATTGTCAGGATCCGTCCCGGCCGTGGCGCTCTCAGTATATAGTGAGCAGTAGCCCGCTATATACTGAGCTTTGGGTCACAGGAGGATGCTAGTATACTGTATGTCCTCCTGTGACCCTTAAGAGAACTATGGGGAAAAAAGGTTACCCCATAGTTCTCTTTTAAAGTGATATTACAGTCAAAAGGTTTTTAAGCTATTTCAAATGTTGATTACACCACTTACAATGGATGCTGATCCTTGATGTTTTAGAGTTTTAGTTTGCTCTAGAATCAGCTGGTACCCTGAGCTCTGGCCCTGATGCCCTGTTTTATTGTGGCTGCTTTCCTTTGCAGGGTCTTATGAAGACACCCTTGTGTGCCGCTTATAAGCTGTGTGTGTGTCCACAAACACACAGACAGAGCAAGGCAAGATACTCTCCTTCTCCCCTTCCTCCCTTCTCTAAGCTAGTAGATGGACAGCTTCTGGATACTGCTCTGACCCTTGTACTGGACAGGACGTTCAGGGAAGCTAAGCGGAGAGAGTTAGAACTGTTTGGAGAGATGATGACTGTAAGTGCTTGAACAAGAATGTAAATACCTTGCTGGGATATGTTTTTGTTTTTTTTAAATTTTAATCTGTAATCCATTATTGAATAAAAAATTGACCGTCCAGAGGCCAGGTTCACCACCTTTTCCTGACCCAGATTTGGACCAGTCCTGGAACGTGGTACATTGCGTTTTGCAGTGTTTCTACAGCGATTCTACAGTGATTTTGCCGCATTACGGCAACATTTTTGTTTTGTTTTTAATAGCTTAAAATGGGCTAATTACAAGTACTTGAATTATCGTGCCCTCCTTTATCTTTCTTTTTGCCTGTCACTGTCTCCTTTTTGCCCTGCCCCCTTTTCCCACCCCTCCCATTTCCATGCTCGCTGTCTCACCTGTGGACATAATTAATCTTTTCCCTTTCTTTTGGCAGGGTGGAAGGAGTCGTGCTTCATGTGCTCCCGCGTGGGTGGCAATAGTAGTCCCCTGAAGCCGGTGTCCCCCTTCGTCTGTTATGATTCGGACTCTGAGCTGGTGTTTGAGTCTAGATTTGAGAGTGGCAATCTGCAGAAAGCGGTCCAGGTGTAAGCACATCCTGTTTAAATGTTAATTTAACTCTGGCATGATATGTCTCCACAGAGCCAATATATAGCTTAGATTTCCTGGATTCAAAATTACTCATCTTAAAGAGACCCTGTCATCTTGCCCATGCTGGTCAAAGTGACCATGTCTCTGCAAAGGGGCCCCCTGACTCCCTTATACTCACCTTGCCTGCTCTCCATTGCTGCTTCTTCCTCCACCCAGCCAGCGCCACTATCCAGTGCTTCCCAGTGATTGGGTTTAGATGTACTTTAGTACTTAGATTTGGATATGTGTTATAATTAAAGTGTGTGTAAATCCAAACATAAAATAAAATTGTAATATATTGCAGCTTAAAAGACAAAAATGTGGTGGCTGCTGATTTAGAATAAACTGAAGATCGACACCGGTCAGATCTTTAAGAGGTAGGTTTATTTGGCCGGCCTGGAGCAAGCAGCAATTCAGGCGTGTTCAAATAAAATCGACTTGAAGGCCCCTTTTTGTAGGAATTTAAACAATAGAACCATATGTGTTGCCTTGATGTATCTCCAATATACCGGTAATAAGGCCACCCTGTCCTCATATTTGATTGTGCCAAGAACATTAAAAGGGTCTTCTCGTCTTGATAAGACTCCCTAACATTAAGGTTAGTGGACAGCTGTCTTGGCATTGAACCTATTGTTCCTTAAGCCAAGGTTACAAAACATCTTTATTAGGGTTGCACAGATACCAAGTACAGTACTCTGTACAAGTACGAGCACAAGTACCGATACTTTTGAGCTCCAAGACTAGACTAGAGAAAAATCCAAAGTTAGGAGTCAGCTGTCATTTGTAAGGAGCACACGGAGCTCCTGGGATTTGTACATCTCTGTTTTATTGTACGATTTTGTTTTTATAAATATAAATAAAGTGATGCACGGATACCAGTTTTGTGAGTACGAGTACTGGTACTTGCCGAGTACTTACAAGATACTTTTTTGTTTATTGTCATGTGACAGTTTTTCTAAAACAATACAGACTAATGATTTCAGGACAGTGGTGGAGCGCCAGAGCCAGGCCCCAGCTGCAACCGCTGCAACCCTGGTAGTTCTCATGAAAATGCCAAGTATCTGCACTGGTACTCGAAAAGTATCTGTGCATCCCTAATGTTTATTATTTTTTGTCATTGAACCCTATTTACTTCACCCTATAAGGCCTAATTGTTCTACATGAACTCTAGTTACTTCAACCTACAACGCTAAATGTTCCACATGTTGCTTACTCATACAACTCATTATCTATCTATGTATTATTTATATGTACACATTTTCTTTCCACTATAAGTCAGGACACTAACTGTATATTATATTATATAAATGCAGAACTTATCTGTTTACGTACTCATTTTTCTCTACAATGCATTGCTAATATGAAAGCAGAGGATTCATCTGAAATGCATCTATTATATGTGAAATGCTCTACAAGGCTGAAACCTTCAGTTTCCTGCTCTACAGGGCTAAAACCTTCAGTAATAATAATAATAAGTGTTCATGCTGATTATGAAATATATGGGTTAATATCAAAATGACACTACACTGCATTAGGTTTTTTTTTTCTACAGTTTTTATTCTCTTATCTTCACCTGATGATCCTGCCAGTAACACACTTCCTGTCCTGGGGTGATAGTGCTCACCCACCTTTCTATATATACCAGGACAACAGTAGCAAGATAGGATAGAATTCCACCCCCTCCTAACTAGTAACAGTCAGCACAGACAAAGAGCACAGGGAGACTTTAGCTCATACGATTTCTGGATGGATCAACAGCTATTTGTTTCAGCTTATTAAACAGATATAATGAAATGCTTTCAATGGTATGTCCTAAAAAGCTCCACATGATGTTGTTAGGGTTTCCATTTAATTTAAAACTCAAATTCTGTAATAACTGAAGATACAGTAGAGCTGCCCTTTAAGCCTGATCATTCAGTGTGCAGTTGCTCCACCTAGTGGTTAGCCATATGATAGATTAGCTTTCTGAACATTTTTTGCAGGGGGCCATGACAAAATAAGGTGCCTCCCGTCCAGTAGCAGACAGGTGCGGGCTCCCCGGGCCGCAGAGTGATCTGTAACCCGCAGAGCCTCTGTCCAGCCTGAATACAGAACGGCAATAAGCCAATCACAGGCAGTTTTTCCTTGTCTCAGACGGTTGTTAATTCCACACACACGCATCTTAGGCAGTCAGGTCCATTTCAGAAATCTATTACCCGCATTAGCATTTTTATTTTCTCAGCAGGAAAGCGTTTTTTTTTTCCCAAGCCAGTTGAGCTGCTGTCTGCTTTTTATAGAATAAATTGCCATAAATTCAGTTAGTAGCTGTGCATAATAATAGGATAACTCACAACCTCCACTCCAGAGGCTGACAGCACTCCCGCGTGTCAATGTGAACTCACGCCTTTTGTGATATCCATATTGTGTTTACTGCCTGCTGGAGGTGAGCTGCTCAGAACATTGCACGACAGGGGGGAACAATGAGAATTTGTTGACAGTGTTTGAGTTAAAACTATATTATGGAAATCGTGAAAAAGAATAAGCTTCTAAGCTCAACTTTTCATATAAAGGCATAAGTACAGAATGCACCAAATCACCCACTGCTGGAGGAGACAGGACTTTAGGGTAATGCCATTTGTCCTTTTATTAAATGCTCCACCACCGGCCTGATCCAGATCATGGACCCCTGTACAGTAGCATTTCAGACCCAGAACCTCAACTCCATAGGATTCTGGAGATGTGATAGTCATAATTGGTCAAGCAGTTGACTTCTCATAAGTTGATGTCCTCCTTTATGTCCCGAAGAGATAAGCTCAGGTTTGGACAGAACCTCAGTCTGAACCTGAACTCATCCAAACACGGAAGCTACATAGGCCTCCTGCCCAATCAGAAGCAGACCAGGGCATTGCCTGTTCACAGCTAACCATAACCATAGGGCTGTCACAATTCTCAACTTTCATGTAACAATCGCAGGGGTCCTCGCACTCGCAGGATGTCAGTACTTGGCACTCTTGTCAGTGACCTGTGTCCTATAATTTCCCCGCATGAAAATAGTGAGGCCTCTTGCACATGACTCATGGCATCCTTACATCAAAATGGTAGCACTGAAGTGCTTCCTGTTATAGACAGGAATTGCATCCCTTCTGCCACACCTCCTGACATCACTTTATGTATGATCACTATAAAGCTGGAAGGTTCCAAAGAGAGAGTGCTCAGTTGTTTCAGAGCTATCCACAGTGTGTTCCAGTTGCTAGCCATGTGATTCTGTTACCTGACCTTTGCTACATTTATGGACTCTGATCCTTTTGCTGCCTGCCCTGACCTTATTCTTCGTTTAAATATGATTTTTGGATTTACCCTTTTGTATCATGTATTTGGAATCTGTGCCTGATTCATCTCCTGGGTACGCTATACCAAGGTGTGTTCCCCTGCTATTGGGCTCTGCGTATCCAATTATTGACAGGGGCGGAGTGCTTGTGCTGCTGTCATTTACCTTGTAAGGCCACATTGCCATATTAGGTAAATGTCATTTAGCAAATATAGCCATGTAGCCATAAAAGGTCAATGACGCCACTGCACCCCGTCTCTTTTTTTACGTCAAGCTGCGGGCAGGGAATTCCCTACCCACAGCTGATTGGACAGCATGGAAGAGGGGCCATTTCCAGGTTCGGAGGAGCTCAGGCTTAGATCGAACCTAAGCTCATCCCTAATGTCCAGTTCCCCATCCCACTATCCAGGGCCAATCTGCAGCAGCTGGTTGATATACAAAAACGTAAGCAGCTTGTAGGATGGTTCACTCAATCTCTCCTCAACTGCTATCAAATGCTATCATAATTGATATAAATAAAGAGAACTGGTCACCACTGGGCTTATGCAATAATCTGCATATTTAGTAATTGTGTTGGCTGAAAGATTTATATTTCCCCCTTTGTTGAGCCTTATTTACTTGAACTTTGATTCTTTGTTTGAGAGTCAGCAGTCTGGGTTTAATTGATGTCTGACAGTTGCTGCTTTACCTGCCTGACACCTGTCTGATAGCTTTTTACAGCATACAAAAAAAGCTCCATGTTAAGAGGAGTATGAACAATAGTCTTTGTTTGTGATGCCATTATAGAAACTCAGGAGCTGGGGGACAGTTGTGAGGTCAGGCAGTTAAGAGGGCGGCAACTATCAGACTTCGGGTGAACCCTGACCACTGACTTTTAAAAGCAGGTCAGGTTTCTTTTAAATCACACACTTGGGGGCCAAATTTATAAAGCAGTAAATTGGACATACACCAAACATTCACTGCAGGTAAGTCTTCCAGGAGCATGTGTTTTAAATGGCATTGATTCACCACTAGTGAATGCTTGCTGAAAGTCACATTCACTGCTTTATAAATGTGCCCCTTAGAATTGTCTATAATTTTGTTTGTGTTTTTTTAAAGGGGTAAATATGAGTACGAGCTGTCCCTTCGTACTGACCTCTATACGGATCGACACACCCAGTGGTACTATTTCAGAGTGACAAACATGAAAGCTGGCATTCTGTACCGCTTCACAATCATCAACTTCATGAAACCAACCAGCCTCTACAACAATGGCATGAGACCCCTTATGTATTCTGAAACAGAGGCAACCACAAGACAAATAGGATGGCGCAGAATCGGAGATGAGATCAAGTACTACAAGAACAACCATTGCCAGGATGGACAATCGTATTACTCCTTGTCCTGGACCTTCAGGTTCCCACACAGTAGAGATGTTTGTTATTTTGCTCATTGTTACCCCTACACCTATTCCAACCTTCAGGATTATTTAGCCGGTATAGCCAGTGACCCAGAGCGCTCCACGTACTGCAAAATCCGGGTCTTGTGTCATACATTAGCTGGGAACATTGTCTATGTGCTGACCATCACCAACCCTTCTCCAGCTGCCAAGGAACCCAAGAAGAAAAAGGCAGTGATTTTGACAGCCAGAGTGCACCCGGGCGAGACCAACAGTTCCTGGGTTATGAAAGGCTTTCTGGACTATATCCTAAGCTCCCAAAATGATGCTCAGCTGTTAAGGGACACCTTTGTCTTTAAAGTGGTGCCCATGTTAAATCCGGATGGAGTGATTGTAGGTAACTACCGTTGCTCCCTCACTGGTCGAGACCTCAATCGTAACTACAAGTCCAGGTTGAAAGACTCTTTCCCATCTACATGGTTTACTCGTAACATGATTAAAAGGTAAGAGACAAACTCCTTCAAAGGTTTGTGATTGTACTTTGTTCTATTGTTTTAACATTTATCAAAATTGCTAACAGCTTTATTACTTAATATCCAACTCTGGGTTTTTTTTTAATTTACCAAGAGGTCCCCCAGCAGCTTAAAAAAAACTCAGGCTTCAAAACTCAACTTCAGTCTGGAGCTGTCTCCTGCAGTACTTCATGTTGCCCACAAGATGTCCTCAGTCTTCTTGGTTTAATGACACCCAGCAGTTTGCATTGTACATTCATTATACTGTAAACTCCCGGTTATCCGGCATCCAAGGGGATCAGTCGATGCTGGATAACTGTAGTTTCTGCTTGCTTGAGAGTTAATAGTACATCTCAAGCAACCAACCCCCGCATCCCTAAATAAGTTTAGTTGGTAAGGGATTTTTTTAGTGTGCACCAAGCAAATGTCAATTTTTTAGTGTGCATCAAGCCACCAGCAAAAAAAAATCAAGGACATATTATGCCCTCTTAAAATGAATGCTGGATAATGGAGACTTTACTGTACTTGCTTTTTTTTTTGTTTTGCACATGCAAGGTTTATTTTAAAAGTATAATAAACTTAAAAGTGTCCCTTGGTGAAGATTGAAAATGTAATCAGTAAATGGATAGAAAACTATCTGAAAGATCATATTCAGAGAGTAGTAGTTAATGATTCATACTCTGAATAGTCTGAGGTTGTTAGTAGTGTACCCCAAGGTTCAGTGGTGGGACCCTTACTTTTTAACAGGAACGTGTGGTCAGATGAGGCAGAGCCTCACCTAGTATTATGTAGGAAAAAGCGGTCAGCTTCAAGTCTGAAGCTGACCGCTTTTTCTCCATTCAGAGCAGCTTGTAACAGGTTACAGAACGGGGAAAGCCTGCCTGCCGTGTAACCTGTCATGGTTGGAGTGCTGCCTGTTAATTACAGGCAGTGCTGCATCTGGCTTTTGACAGCTAAGTTAGGTTACAAAGCAGCGGGCTTCCCCACTGCTTGTGTAACCTAACTAGCAAGGCCAGAGCTGTTACAGCCTCTACTCTGTGTTAGAGGCGTGAGCTCTGTGGATGGTTTGGACCAATGCAAAGGGCCATTGGTCCAAGCTGTCCAATCAAAAAAAAAAGAAAAAAAACCCACTGAGGACATCAATCTCGATGCCTCACCAATGATGAGCAAGTGAAGGACAGGGAGGCTCCTCCCTGTTTCCTCCCTGCTCCCTCTCTTCCTCCTCCGCACATAGCGAGTGACCTGGTTGGGGAGCAGGGCTTCGGTGGGCTGGGGGAATAGAGAATTTAGGATTAAAATCACAATGTCTGTGTTTGCAGATGACACCAAGCTATGTAGTGGAATAACGTCCTTACAGGATGTAACGTACAAACAGACCTGAATGCACTGTTGGGCAACAATGTCGCTAACGTTAGTAAATGTAAAGTTATGCACTTAGGGGCTATATCATGCAGGTGTCTTACACTCTGGGGGTAGTACAATTGGGTGTGGCAATGATCGAGAAGAATCCAGGTGTTCTGGTAGAGAAGGCAGTTAATGGACGATATAATCGTCAAGTATAAACACATGAATGGTCCATATAGTGAACTTGTTGCAAAGTTATTCAGGTCATTGCAAAGAACTAGAGGGCACTCTGCATATGGAGGAAAAAAGTTTAAAAGAGAAGTAAGGCCAAACATTTTTTTAGCTCTACTTTTGGGTCACAGGAGAATATTTACTAATGTACTCCTGTGACCCAAAGTCAGTATATAGCAGGCTACTGCCCACTATATGCTGACAATGCACAGCCCCCCTGCAGCTGGGAAGGATCCCGACAATAATGCCTGATTGACAACTGGCTCTGCCACTCTAGAGCCAGAGCTCACTAGGATCACTAGGCAGTCTCATCTTGCCTAGTGGTCATGACATGCTGCAATTAGCATGGAAAAACATATCTGATGCTAGGTCCACTTTTAAACCTGTCAGCTTTGGACCTTTGCAGTATTCATTATCTGGCGTGCTTTGCATTTGACCGCAAAGCATCCCCTCTTCCCAGGAGGGTCCCTTTTAAACCTGTACACTCCAGGACAGCTTCATGCAATGGTGGCACATTTCAATCTGCTGGTTAGTGATGTCACTGGTGGAAGAGCTGCATGCATTTAGCTTCACAACCCCCAAAACCTGCATGAGGCCCATTCTCACTTAAGTTGGCAAAAAAAGTATCTGGGACTGTACAACCTATTTGCAGAGGAGGTCCACAAAGAGGGATTTCTGTAACTCTGACTAAACTGCGTGTGCGCCATGGATTGGTTAAAAACTGACAGGTTCTCTTTAAAGAATTAGGATAGACTTCGTGGAGCTTTTCCTGAGTTCGATTAAGATCCTTCATACCTACGGCCAGTTCTGCTTTAAAACAGGAACACTTCATTCTATAGTTCCAAGCCTTTCTAGTAGCCGCAGCTTTCTCTCTTGCTGTCCTCGCCATTGTCAGGCGACAGAAGAGACATTTGCAACCCTTTATGCATGAAATCAAAGATAATATTCGTTATTATTTTGTTATTAGCTGCTTTCACCCGAGAGATCTCATCTCTGCCCATGTACCTTCCACTCGAACTGCCTACATCTCCCAGCGCCAGGCTGATTAGCTTTAATGGTCTGTCTGCCGCTGTCAGTCATTTTGAAGTCGGCTGGCATTTATCACAGCGTAGCCTATATTATCTGATAAGGTCTGGCCAATAACAAACAAAAAAAGTCTTATTTTTTTCTTCATAACTGCAGTGCCAAAATACTGTGCGTGCTTTATACCGTACCTTGATTTTTGGTGCCCTCTAGTGGTTTCTTTGGTGGTCAACGTGGGCAATTCAGCTGCTTTTTTTAGGGTGTTAGCCAAGGGTGGGCGACTTGAAGCACTCCACCTGTAGTGAAACTACAAATCCCATAATGCCTTTGCCTTGTCAGAGTCTTGCCATGCAACATGGGACAGCTGGAGTGCCAAGGTTGCTTATCCCTGGTGTAAGCTCCACTTTTGTGCAAATAAAATAAATCCTCTCCAGGTCAGCTGTATGCATTGTAAACCTCATGTACCTGCTTCTTTTCTGTAAATGCTGAGATGAGTCAGACCAGTGCATTTGCTGAGAGTGAATGCTAAGCAGGCGAGTCTGTCAGAAAGAGATTTAGAAAGAAAAACCTGTAATTCCCACTAGTGATCATTCTCCGGAGGGGAGATATGTTCAATACTGACCACTTATGAACCAAGTTTATATCTAGATGTACAAAAGAATTCATTTACAAATCTACATTGAAAAACAAAACGTCCCCCATAAAACCCAGGACAACTAACTACAGGGCCCCGCATAAATCACTGTGTAATGACAATCATATGTTTATACATATCTGGTTGGTTCTGCTTATCAAAACATGCCCACGCTCTACCAGGCTGAATGTGTCCCAGATTCATTTAACCCCAGAAGACTAAGGAAATACTTTGACTGCAGGACTTCATGGGTCTCCTAGGGTTGCCACCTGTCCGGGATTGACCAGGACAGTATGGGATTTGAATACTGTGTCCGGGTTTCATGGCAGCTAAAATCCGGACACAAGATGTCAGGCAGACAGGGGCAACCAGGGGGCCCAGATCTTCCTGGTTTTAAACAGCCGCGTGCCTTACACAGGACGGGTCTGCAGCTCAGCTGCGGAAGGTCTACTTATCACTAAGTATGCTTGAGGACTGCACTCTGATGTTCTCTCTCTCCCTCCCTCTCTCTCTCTCCCCACCCTTATTGTCCCCCAAACATGTTCTCATTAATGACATTGTGACAGTCAGTTTTTACTTTGGTCCATGTACCAAGTTCTTCAGTGGCATTCTCTCCTCACTCTCTCCTTTTGTCTATCTCTCCTTACTCTCTCCTGGCTGTCTCTCCTCACTCTTGTGGCTGTCTCTCATTACTCTCTCCTGGCTGTCTTTCCTCACTCTCTCTCCTGGCTGTCTCTCCTCACGCTCTCTTTTGGCTGTCTCTTCTCGCTCTCTCTCCTAGCTGTCTCTCTTCTCGCTCTCTCCCTCTCTGGGCCATCTCTCCTCACTCTCTCCTGGCTGTGTCTCCTCTCTTCTGGCTGTCTTCTCTGACTGTCTCTCCATGATCTCTCCTGGCTGTCTCTCCTCTCTCTCCTGGCTGTCTCTCTTCTCTCTCCCCTGGCTATCTCTTCTGGCTGTCTCTCCTCACGCTCTCTCTCTCCTGGCTGTCTCTCCTCTTCTGGCTGCCTCTCCTCTCTCTCCTGCCTATCTCTCTTCTCTCTCCCCTGGCTATCTCTTCTCTCTCCTGGCTGTCTCTTCTCACTCTCTCTCGTGGCTGTCTTTCCTCACTTTTCTCCTGGCTATCTCTTCTCTCTCCTGGCTGCCTCTCCTCTCTCTCTCCTGACTGTCTCTCTTCTCTCTCCCCTGGCTGTCTCTTCTCACTCTCTCTCCTGGCTGTCTCTCCTCTCCCTTCTGGCTGTCTCTCTTCTCTCTCCCCTGGCTATCTCTTCTCTCTTCTGGCTGTCTCTCCTCGCGCTCTCTCTCTCCTGGCTGTCTCTCCTCTTCTGGCTGTCTCTCCTCTCTCTCCTGGCTGCCTCTCCTCTCTCTCCTGCCTGTCTCTCTTCTCTCACCCCTGGCTATCTCTTCTCTCTCCTGGATGTCTCTTCTCACTCTCTCTCATGGCTGTCTTTCCTCGCTTTCTCTCCTGGCTATCTCTTCTCTCTCCTGACTGTCTCTCTTCTCTCTCCCCTGGCTATCTCTTCCCTCTCCTAGCTATCTCCTCTCTCTCCTGGCTGTCTCTCCTCGCTCTCTCTCCTGGCTGTCTCTCCTCTCCCTTCTGGCTGTCTCTCTTCTCTCTCCCCTGGCTATCTCTTCTCTCTCCTGGCTGTCTCTTCTCACTCTCTCTCCTGGCTGTCTCTCCTCTCTCTTCTGGCTGTCTCTCTTCTCTCTTCCCTGGCTATCTCTTCTCTCTCCTAGCTATCTCCTCTCTCTCCTAGCTGTCTCTCCTCGCTCTCTCTCCTGGCGGTCTCTCTCTCTCTGGCCCATCTCTCCTCACTCTCTCCTGGCTGTGTCTCCTCTCTCCTGGCTGTCTTCCCTCACTGTCTCTCCATGCTCTCTCCTGGCTGTCTCTCCTCTCTCTCCTGGCTGTCTCTCTTCGCTCTCTTTTTTTACTCTCCAAAAAACAATTGCCTCGTGCCACTAGAGTGTTTGTTTAGTTTTCACTTGAAGAAAAGGGTCCAAGTGTTGAGCCTGCCTCCTAATGATGCAGAAAGTGAGTGCCAATTCCCTGCATCTGAAGGACTGTGTACTGCAAGATGACTAAAGAGGAAGGGGGCCCAGCGCATCACATGACCCACCTAAACCAAAAGACTTTGGAAAAAGGTAAGTATATAAAAAAAAAAGAAGAGGGGGGGTGGTTAGGTTAGAGGGATGATCTTCCACAGGGAGCTAAGCTGGGATATCTTTTAATTTTGTCTCTGGTTAGTCGCCATGCGTGTGTATTTTTCTATCTGTGTAACTCTGTATGTAAATATATAACTATGCAACTGTGTAAATCTATCAGTGAGAATCCACACCGGTCGCCTTTAAAACCAGAGCTGTTTCCAGGCTTCAGGGAAATGAGAAGTCCACAGGCAGATAATGGGCCTATTTAGTCTGATACAACAGACAGAATTGATTGTAATAAGGAGCGCAGTCTTTTTCCCCAGCTTTGCATTACAACTTGCACAGTTATCATCTGGTAAAAATATCTTTGGCTGGCAGATCTATATCGAACATATTACGCTTAATGCATTTAGTGCTGACTCGGGGAAAACGAAATATTACTGTTGGCTAACCATTTCTGCAATGTAATGTGCTTAAAGTGAATCTTAGCCGGAAATATATATAATTAACTTGTACATGAGAATGAAGTCTACAGCGATGCTTTTCCTTCAATATCATAATGGCATTTGTTACTGAACATAAATTGGTACGGTTTTGTGCCGCCCTTCCCTGGGATAGCAAGGTTGTTTTGTATAGTGGAGGCTGTAGAAAAATGTTTACCTTATTCACCACTCCTTTGACAGCTGGTGCTTTCCACCAGTCTCCGGCGGTACCTGTATGGGGGCATAGCATCAACATCCTCAGGTACAATGCAGAACCACTTGCTAGTAATGTTTTTTTGGCCAAAATGGCTGAGGAATGGTCCCTGCATGGTCCCAAAATGTTGCTTTACTATGTGTTCATACAAAACAAAGAGCTTTTCACTTTGAAACAAGCTTGTTGGTGTGATGGTGACACATCACATCCAATTTTGTGAAAATGAGGTCACCGCCTACTGACCCAGTGCCTCTAAGTTTCATTCCAGCTATACGTCTTGGATCACAAAGCTAATACTAGCTGAATAGAATATAAAAGGCACCTTCAGACCTTTTTGTGGTGTTTTTCCCCCCTCTCCCAGTTGTGCTTATATGTTGTCACCCTCGGGATTCCAATGGAGACTGCATGTGTACAGGGTACATGTTGCTGCAACACACAGGTCTCCAAGGCTCTAAATTCTTTGGCAGGTAAAACAATTGGCATATGTTTTTTAACACTGTATTTAGATGCTTGCCTGGAGTGCAGCTTTAAGTTCATGTCTAAGGAAAACACATCAACAAGTTGACAGCATGGGACACAAGGCAAACTGCCTTGTCTATGGGTAGAGACTGTGTTGAGCAAGGCTACCCATCCCAACTCATCATGGTGTTTTGTAAATTCAATTGTTGGAAATAATCAAAATGTGGAGGACTGCTTGGAAAATCGAGTTAGCCAGAACCAGATTCAGTGGTATTCCGATGCCACGACTGTAATATATCTGACGTACTTTGTCCTGTTCCTGTCATAGAGTGATGGAAGAGCGGGAGATACTGCTGTATTGTGACCTGCACGGACACAGCAGGAAGCATAATGTTTTCATGTACGGATGTAAAAGCAGAGGTGTCCAAAATGGCGGCAGACGTCTGTGCGAGCGTTTATTTCCCTTCATGCTCGGCAAGAACTCTCCTGACAAGGTAACTCTTGAATTGCCTAATGGTGCTCAGGTGGTAAACTGCAATAGGAAGACACACACATGTTATTACCCCCTTGTACATTTTATACACACACACAGCGATTCGTGACTGTCTCTTTGTAGTATGTAAGGTTCCAGATACATAAATACAAAAGCAGTTCCAACACCTTTTTAGACCTTGCAGTCCCATTCTGGCCATTCGTCCAAGTTACCCGGTTGGAGAATGAACCCACCTAGGGTGGGGAGGAGCAATGGATGCTACAAGCTGTGTTGATTCAGATGTACCAATAAGGAGACTGTATTAAGCCAGGTGCACCACATCTTCCTTCCTGGCACTTGGCAAGTTAAACCACCTGCAATCTGTAGACTAATGTTCTCAAACACATCTCCCTGTGCTGGAAAACAGCAATCTACATTGCAACAATGAACTAAGAGCACGCAGCTGTGCAAGCTTCTGTAACCACACTGTTACTGACATCTGCAAGCTTTAAGCCGGCCATACACCTGACGATTATCGTACGATAATCGTCAGGTGTATGGGCAGCGTGTGACCGCATATTCTGTAAGGTCGCACGACTTTCGTCTTACGAGCACACTAGAAATTCCGCTGAAAATCATACGATTTTCGGCGGGTTGGTAGCGCGATTGCAAGACGAAAGCCGCACGGGTCGAGGTGCGCAGACGCACACTGCCCGCTCACCATTGCAATCATCTGTAAGCCCTCCCCTCAGCGGGGAGGACTTGCGATGATCGCAAGTATGATGAAAATGATCGCAAGTATGATGAAATTTTAATCACCTTACAACCATCGCACAGCAAAAGTCGTGCGATGGTTGTAAAGTGTATGGCCACCTTTGGACCAGGGTGGACAAACTCTGGCCCTCCAACTGGAATTTTAAATCCCATGAGGCAATGCAAAATTCTCAAATCTACAGGTATGACTTCTAGAGACAGATGCATGATGGGATTTGCATGTTGAGATTACGCAGCCCACTTTAGACTAATGATCGGGAACATGTCATTATGGTTCCCCGTCATGTGATCACCAGGACAGTCAATCACGTTGGTCACTGGAAGTTTGCAAACAAACATCTCCAGCCTGCAAATGGCACTGTGCGTGCGTGCATGTGTGGCGTTAGAGCAAAAACTAAAATTGATAAAGATAAAAATGATTGCTTAAAAACAGTAAAATAACTAAAAATGCATTATTTTGTTAGCAAAAAAAAAATCAGGTCATGTTCTTCCACCTGTTTTGGTGGCCTCTCGCTGGTTCAAGCCCGGAGTTCTCCTCTAGCAGTCATCTCCTCTATCCTGGTTTTAAGGATCCGGTTGATCCTTTTGTGTTCTCCCTTTGGTCTCTGGCAGCTTTTTCTCATCTAGTTCAGAATCCGGTCTTCATGTGATTCTGAGTTGCTGACCGTACCCAGTCCCATGTTTTGGGCCTGTCAGTGGCTGTTGCCCACTCCTCAGTTTGATTGCTTTAAGATCTTCTGACTGTATCTGAATTGTTGTGTTCCTCAATTGACGAAAAGGAAGATAGAATGTTTGTACTTATTGTGAAACCTAGCTCTATGAGGGACACAGGTCTGACCCCTGCG